TGGAGTGTGCCCAGGTGGCCAAGAAGGCCAATGGCACCGGGCTTGTGTCAGCAATGGTGTGGCCAGCAGGAGCCGGGCAGTGGCCATCCCCCTGTGCTGGGGGCACTGGTGAGGCCACAGCTGGAATCTTGTGTTCAGCTTTGTTTCCTCACAGCAGGAAGGACACTGAGGGGGGCTAGAGTGTGTCCAGAGAAGGAAATGGAGCTGGGGAAGGGTCTGAAGCACAAGTGTGGGAGGAGTGGCTGATGCAGCAGGGGGTATTCAGACTGGAGAAGAGGAGGTTGAGGGAGACCTTCTCACTTTCTAACACCTGAAATGTACTGAAAGTCCCTGAAAGCCAGGTGTGGGTCAGGCTTTTCTCCCAAGTAACAAGTGAGAAGGACAACAGAAAATAGTCTCAGGTACCTCTGTGTGCCTCTAACAAAAATGCAATTTTCTATTTTTTGAAAACCAAAACAATGATGTGAGTGACTCATTTTTCTTCTAGCTGAAGAAAATGTAATTTAAACACTGAAGAAAAAAAGAAAATGTGATTTAAAAACTGCACCAGAGCGCCTCCTAGCAGTATTTTAGTGTAACACCTATTTCTAAAAATTGCACGTGGAGGGGAGTAGGGCCATTGCCAGCGTAATTATAGGAGTGGGAAAGGTTTCTTAGGATGATATAGTTATTAGCATTAGTTTTCTGGTGACCAGGTAACTATGTCTCTACTCCCTCTTGTACTTCTTGTCTTTCTTGGGGAAAAGGTAACATCTTAGTAGGTTTGGATATGAGGAAATATTGAAAAATCTGGTTTTTTACAGTATAATGAACTGCTTACAATTTTAGGGGAAGAGATGCTTTACTCAAGTAAGTACACTTGGCAATCATACACTTTAAACATTTTTGTGTGTTTGCTGATTTCCAATAAATTCTTCAGGAGCGATTTCAAGCTTGATTTCCTGACATGCAACATATAGCAGTTCTTTCTGCATTGGGAAAAATCTCTTCTTCTATAGCCTTACTGCAATAATTCCTGTCATGAAGCTCAGCTTCCCCTGCAAAGCTTTATGGCAACTAAGAGACATTCAACAAACTAAAAATTTTAAAGATTATTTTAATCTCAGCAAGGTGAGATTTTAAAACCCAGCAGTATCCAGTTATATAACATCACGAACATGGCACAGCACAACTTAGAAAACATGGCTGATGGGAACAAAAAATGCATATACCCAGCATGAATAAAATAATATGTTAATTAATAATTTTTTAAAGGTCCATTTTCTTTTAAGAGCTTCTGAACACCTGGATTTTTTTCTCAGTAAAACAATCTTTCCTTGCAAAACTGAGGAAAAATTGATTTCACTAAACAATAATCTAAATAATAAAGCTTTTATTTGGTGAGTCTCAATAGAGAGAAAAGTTGTTGGGGGAAAAATAATGTAGTTTTGGAAACAGTTTCACCAGTTCTCCTACATCACAGAAAAATAGTTTTCAAATAGTTTCATAACGAAAGATGTAGAAGAAAGTTAAAAATATACTCTGACAAAATGTTAAAAGTCTCAGCCATGGAGAACTGATTACATACATAAGTATTGCCACCTAGTGGCCATAAATCCGATAAAAAAACAAACCAAACCAAACCAAACCAAAACATATTCCAATTCAAGAAAGGTAAGTTTCAGGAAAAATCAGGTACAAGTTCATCCTGGAACGGCTTTGTGAATTGTCGAGCGCATTGTACTTAATCATCATGGCAGGACATTTTGTCCTGCAACTGTGTACACTGGGTTAGATTTACGCTTCATCTCCAGAGCTCAAGAGAAAAAAAAAGGGAAAAAAATCCAGCTACCTTTCTGTTTGAGATGGGACCTTTGATTTGTCAATGCAATGGGAACTAAAACCAAAGAAATAGACAGCCAAGTCTATCACTATTACAAGTCCAACTCAGCTGCACTCATTTACTTCCACAGTTGAGTTAGTTGATTGCTGGCTGCGGGGTGGGAACTAAAATTTTGTTTTGGCTTCTCTTGAATGAAGTGCTTCAGCTACAGCATTTGTTTGGCTTTATAAGGATAGCTCAGTTTTGAAATAAACCCACTTTAGTTTAGAAGAGAAGCAGTACCTGAAAATGACAGGAATGAGCACCATGTTGAGGAGAAACAGTCCTCTCCACTCAACAGAAGAATGGGCAAATATCACTCTGTTCCCAGACCTGAGCTGGCTTACAGTCATGGTGCTTCAAACTTTCCAGCTCAGTTAACGCAATACTTGAACAACAGCTACAGGAAACCAAGGATTGGTTTACACAAACCTGAAAAACAGGACTTTTCTCCCTGACCACAACTGCTGACTTCAGGACAAGCTTTGGTAATTAACACAGAGGTTTATACCACATACATTCCAAACTGGAATATATATATATAAAAATATATATATGATATATGTTCTTGATAAATATCACTAATTGGAATAGGGCATTACCAAAACTAGTGCAAGACTTCTCCTCATTGTTTAGGAAAAGCAGTAAATGGCAAGATGCCAAAGGGGAAGGTATTTCATGCAGTGGTAACAAGAGCAGTCTCTTGGAGCAGCTGCTTTAGGCCACAGCCAGGGTTAGAGCAGAGGGGGGATGATTCCCTCAACTCCATTCTCTGCCGTGTCACTTTCCAAAGGCCAGAAACTCTACTGTCCAACTCTACTGTCCCATCCCTACACAAGCAACACCTACAACACAGTTACTCAACCATGGCCATGGGATTATGAAGCTATGTATATTCCAAAAAGGGAGTGAAAATGCCAAGAGTCACACAACAGTTTTCAGGAGCCCTCTGATCACACAGACTGATGCAGTAAGGTCAAATAAAGCAGAGTGAAGGTAGCATGTGTCCTTCATAGCCTTCTAAAACAGGCAATGGGACATGCCCTAGTCAAAAGATTAGGCTGGGTAGCCAAAGAGGAGGTGAAAGAAAAGGATATGAGAAATTGAAGCAAATGGCTGAGGCTAAGATGAGAAAAAGGTAACTGGAACAAACTGGGTAGTGTTATTTACCAGCTTGAGGTCTTTACCTTTAATGGCTATGGATAATAAAGCACTGCTTTGTTTTGTTTGAAAGGGAGTTGGAAAAAGTTTTCAGATCTGAGTCAGAAAACTGTTTGCTCCCACTGAGTCACCACTGTAGCTGCCTACTACAGTTATGTGGTTTCTTTTTAGAGCTGTCATGCTGAATGTACCCACACTGATGATGTTTCTATAACAGATAAGGTGCATGTGACAGCCTGAAAGAGTGATACCTGATTAAGAAAAACCCAACAACACCTGTTCAGACTACATTGTACATCAAACCTGGTAACAAGCTGTTCATAAACACAAGGTTGCCATTGCATTTGACATTCTCCACAGGCTGCTGCACATTCAAACTGACCTCACTGCAGTTTTATCAGGAAAATACTCACTTGTTCCCAAGAGATGATTGTGTGGCGTTCAGCTGGCTCCTTTTCCACAAAAGTCACTTCAGCAACTCCTGGGGAAGTCTCTGAAAGGAAAAGAGGAGCATGTTTGCATCTCTCATGGGTGACACCAACCCTGTGAGACAGTAAATTTTGCAAATTGATGAGTGACAGCCAGGGAGAAGGCATTAATGATTGCACATGTTGTGCTGGTGACTGAGCAGTCACTTTCTTTTGTCTGTAACTGTACTCTGCATCTCTTGGCGTAAGTATGTCTAGTGCTACACTAAATGTTATTATTTGATTTTTTTAATACATGTAACAATGTGCATATATGCACATATTGTGATATATCTACACATACACTAATTTAATGGGTGGCATTCCTGTCTAGGGTGGGAGGGGCTAGAACAAGATGATCTTTAAGGTCCCTTCCAACTCAAACCATTCTATGATTCTATGATGCAAGCACAATTTGTCTTCAAGGCGTCATCTTTTGCAGAGGTTTTATGGAAAATGAAAAAAAAAAAATCAGTGATGGGTTTTGAGGCAAACTCTTACAGGGGAGTGCATCTTTATTTGTAAGCATGCCTTGTGGTTTTTGTTGGGTAGGATATCCTCACCTAGGGACAAGATGCAGTGCAGTGTTCCTGTGAATTGCTAACAGCCCTGGTCCACAAGGGCAGGCATGCTTCAGCTCTGGATTCAGTGGGTTTGGACAGACACAGAAACCTGATCCTGCTGAAGGGATCTGTATGACCAAACATCAGTTCTCTGAAACCTCAGCTGGACACAGGAAAATTTGCTACAAGCACTGAACTCGTATCAATCTATAAAAATATTCTGAATATTTTATGGGAAAGAACGTAAGATACTAAGTCACATGGTGCTTTCAGATGTGTGATAGCAGAATAGACTCATTTACAATTACTATTTTATAATGTTTTATGTCACCCAAAGCCAACTGAAATAATTCCCACTGAGATCATTCTCTTTGGATGAAGTCCAGAGAGACTACTAAATTGTTGTGGGAACTGCAAGCCCAGCAGACAGGGCCTTGGAATAGAAGTGATAACTATTCAAGGCTTTCCAGCCTGGCTCTGCTGTGAAAGTATTGGCCCCTAAAGCAGTCACACACATTACAATTGCCTTCTGGTAAAACATACACAGTGCACCAGACAGGAAAAGCAGGCACTAGAGAGCTTTGGTTTGTTTTTTTATCTTCAGTGCCAGGCTTTTAATTCTATCAATAGCACTGTCCTTGTCTGTTCTGTGGGTGGAAGACTGGCACTCAGTTTCAGCAGTAAACATCAGTTGGAAATACTGATTGTTACCTTGTCAGATAATTGAAAAGATAAAAACATGGCATCAGATAAACCAACTCCAAGTTAAAGACATTAAAAAAAAAATCATACTTGGTCACATAGGTAAATTTGTCTGGTCAAGGAGGAACCCCAATATACAGAAGACTGATGTTTCACCAAGTTTGACTTCTGATAGGTGGGTCCAAGGTAGGGTGATCTGTCTCTTGCTCAAATATAAGCTGTCTGAACGACAGGGTGGAATCAATTACCTAACTGGTCTTTTCCATCTAAGCTATGCAAACCTTATGACAAGTTGAGGAGATTATAATAACAGGGTAATTGTTATTTCTGTGATCAAAGGAAACAGAAGGGATGTTTAATTCATCAGGCACAACATCTTGGCTGGGATAACAGAAGATTAAATTTTGTATCAGTCAAGAAGATGTCTAGGAATGAGAGAATTCAACTTCTAAAGAGGTTTGAACCAAACCCAAGATCAAAAGAAAGAGAAATTCCACCTTAAAAGCCCAAATATAAAATTAAAAATATACTGTGGGTAAACTGAAATCCATGTTTAACAGATGTGTATAGGTATGGACAGGAGTGCCATTGAACATTTGGGTTAACTTTGCAATGAGTTGCTTTTCCTTACAGATGGAAGAAATGAAGAAGCCACTTTAGTGGCACATAGATACATGATAAAGCTTAACTTCTTCAGACTACACCCTATAAATTAATCTGAATCAAGATTATAGTAAACTCTGCCCTATTTTTAGGACATTTCATCTGGAAGCTCCCAAAAACGCTTTGCAGCATTAATCAGAAATAATCAATGTCGTGATGTGACACAAAGCTGAAACAGGAAATCACAGGATTTTCAGTCTTTACAGTACTGCTAATACTGCCTGTAAGTTGGCTAAACTCTCAGTGTAATTTTAAAATGCTTTAATAGTTACATTCTTATCTAATAGAAAGTGCTAACAGTGAAGCATGGTTCTGTCTTGGGCAGTCCAGCAGAGCTAACACCTTCCATGTTGATTTAATTATGAATAATAAATCTTTCCGGAATTTTCTATTACTCACAGAACTTCAGCAAAGTGAATACTGGCAATGGGAAAGATCTCTCCCTTTTTTTCCCCTCAAGGTATAGCCTCCATAATGCCTGTGAGAAATATCCCTTCTTGTAGGGATTTCCACAGAGACTAAAGTTAAAAAAAAAAACCAACAAAACAATGACTGATTGTACTTTACGTTAGGCAGAAAATAGCAATTGACTTCATGAGACTTTCCAAAAGATTTAAAGTGAGATAGTTTCTAGTAGTAATAAATACAGAGCAAGGCGTCATTCTGAATGAGATAGCCTTTGTTATTTGAAAGAAACAAGCACTGAACAGACTGGTAATACTTCCCAATTAGCTAAACAATTCTAATTAATTTGGTGGCACAGTTGAAATGCCTTGGACTACTACTGGAAAAAATGTGCCAAATTCCCAGAATGTGTGGAGAGACAGAGAAAAGAAGTGAAGTAAAACATCATTGTGATGGACATTGCTGTATTGCACAATTCAAGTTGTCAGAGACACAGAGAGATAAAGAAGAAAACACAAACCAGGAAACACCTTCCACCTGAAAGGGATGTTGCAGGACCTTCAGAGCCATATCTGCATTGCCATGTTGTGCTGGTGCAGACAACACACCTACCCAAAACAGCTTATATGGCAACATGACATTTGGACACAGCTCACATCTCAAAGCTCTCACACACCTGACGGTGGTGAAAATGTGGGCAGGGCTAGTCCTATATTTTAAAAAGACCTACTTGAAAGAAGCTTTTGCTATGACAATGATCATCAGTTTCACTCACAGTGTAGAGATAGCATTATCCTGACCTCAAAACTAAGAAAACAAACAGAAAAAAAAATCCACCCATCCCCCACCTCAAGAAGTCCACTAGTAAGTCAGTATGACAACACTGATCAGAGATTGAGGGTGAAATCCTGTCCACACTGAAACTCAGAGAAAGAATTTAACCCTGATCTTTTAATCTCATCTGTCTGAGCAGCTACCCAAACCCATGTGCCACTATAGATAAATTGAGGTTACCACGTGAAATTTACTGTCCTGCAATGCTGCCCTGGGATGAGATAATAGCAAAGCTCACTTCTGGCTCTAAAATTCCCAGGAAGAAATTCCGAGACTGCAACTTGTAATCTTGTTTCACATGGTTTAGGATAGAGGTACAGCTTTTCAGCCTTACAAATAAGAGAGTCCCATGCTCTGTGCTGCTGAGGTATCAAGGGTCTAATGCTAAAATCCTTTGCACATACAAACACTTGAAGAAATCCTTGTGATTCCACTGATATGAGTAAAGTTTGTCTGAGAATATGTCCTTTGGATGCCTTGCAGTCCTGCTGAATTCAGAGGGAGCTGAGGGCATGCAAGAAGGCTCAAGATCTGAGCAAAACCTGCAAATGACAAGCAGGACATTTTGTAGAACAAGTATCAATGTGGGAATGAGCTGAATAGCAACTATTTATGGGGATCTGATCCTGAGCAGATTAACAAATTGGCCTTCTATCAGAACACTGCACCATGCTGAACTCCCCTCCATGGGGCATGCTCCTGCTGACCCCACATTACCACAGAGAATCAAATTTAGGCGCTATTTACACAGGAAGATTGTGTGGAGACCTCACAGGAACATTTCAATATCTGGAGGCCTACATGGAAGCTGTAGAGGGACTCTTCATTATGAATTGTGAGATGACAAGGAGTAATGGATACAAATTGGAAAGAAGGAAAATTTGGTTGGGGTATTAGGAAGAAAATATTTATTTTGAAGGTGGTGAGACACTGACAGGTTTGCCCAGAGAAGCTAGGGATGTCCATCCCTGGCAGTGTTCAAGGCCAGGCTGGATAAGGCCTTGAGCCACCTGCCCAAGGCGTCAAGGCTGGGAATGGATGATCTTTGTGGTCTCTTCCCACCTTTTAACATTCAACGATTCCATGATTTTTCATAAAACATCACCTTCTCCTTCTCTGGTGTTTATGAAACTCTTAGAGTCGAGAGATTCAGGATTCCTGCCGCTGTTTCCAGAAACAAGGATATGTCTCTGCGTGTGCACAGGCTGCTCAGCTGCGCGATTCACAGAAGGGGCTGTGACAAATGGGTGGCTCCCCCCGCCCCCGGCCTGCCCCCGCCCCGCGCGCTGTAGCTCAACGCCACTTACCCAATATCCTTGTGACGCCCAAGGTGAGCTTGTCCAGGTAGGGCTTGATGCCGGTGGGGAGTTTTTCCTCCATCCTCCGCGAGACCCTTCTGCCTCTACCCAGCTCGACAGAGACAATGCTTTTCTGGCCTTCCTACTGCCCGTAGCCACACGGCGCGCTGGGAATAATAGTTCTTCTGGGCGGTGCTCTGGTCGGCCCATGGCGGCCTCCGCTGCTCAGAGGACCACGATTCCCGGCATGCCTCGCAACCCTCCGCGCGCCTCTGGCGCAGCTAGCCAATGGGCGGCGAGAGCCGGGGGGACGGCGGGGGTGTGCGGGGAGTGGCGGCTGTTTCAAGATGGCGGCGGCGGCCGCCGGTGTGGGTGGAGGTGTTCGCCGAGGCCGGGGCTGTATCCTTGTCTGGGGGGCGGTGTGAGGGGACAGCGGCGGGAGGGGCCGCCAGGGGCGTGCGGGGCAGCCCCCCTCGCGGGGGGGTTTGGCGTGGAACCGATGCGGCGCTGTGAGTCGGGTGGGGTTCTGTGGCCGTGGCAGAAGCTATGTGAGGGCTCCGCTGGCGACTGTGGAGGGGGTTTGGCCTGGGGAGAGGGATTGGGTATATGCCTGTTTTTAGGGGGTGCTCAGGATTTCAAAGCAAAAGTGACCTGGGAGAGAGGGGAGGGTCATAAGTCCTCTTCAGTGTGACCCAGTTGTGAAATCTCGGGGCAAGTAAATATACAGGAAATGGAGAAATTGCGTTCAGCTTATGGGGACTTGTCAGGGAATCAATAGAGAGAATGAGGTTGAACAGCCCGGAGAAAAGAAGGCTCAGGAGTGATCCTATCGAACTCTTACTACTGCCTGACAGGAGGTTGGTTGTGGCCGGGTGGCGGCTGGGCTCTTCTCCCAGGTGACAAGTGACAGGACAAGAGCTGTTGTCTTAAGCTGCTCAGGAGAGATTTAGATTGGACATTAGAAAGCATTTGCTCACACAAAGAGTGACTGGGCATTGGAATGGACTGCGCAGGGAGGTGGTGGAGTCACCATCCCTGGAAGTGTTTAAGAAAATACTGGACCTGGCACTCAGTGTCCAGTGATAGGTTGGACTCAATGATCTTAGAGGTCTTTTCCAACCTTATTGATTATGTGACTCTTTGAAACTGAGGCTAGAAGCTGAGCAGGGAAGAAATCTGTCTTTTTTGACTAGCACCTAAGCTTGACTACAAGCACATCATTTTGGGTGAGCCTGTGTGGGACTTGGAGGGCTCTGTCTGTGAGGGATGAGAGTGAGGTTGGGGTGGTTTCATCTGCAGGGGACCTGGAGGCTCCTATTGTGGGAGCCTACGTGGGGCTGGACACGTAGGTGATGTGGGTGGTGGCTGTGGTGTTGGGAGCTCAGCCTGTACAAGCCTGGTTATGGAGAGATGTGCTTGTGCGGCTCAGAGAGCTAAGAGCTGCCACTGGTGGTTGGGCTTGTGTGGGTGGGTTGGGGCCTCAGTGACTTGAAGTCATTAGAGTAGAACTGACAGTCTGGCCTGGTGGAAATTTTGAAGCTGACAATTTAATTCCAGTTGTGAGGGGTTTGAAGCATTGCTGTTAGTCAGACTGAGAGTGGGATTTCAGCATCAAATGGAAGAAATTGGAAAGAAGCGGATGTGTCTGTGCTCTTGTATTTATGTTTGACTGCACACTCCCTGGGACAATGTGCAAGTGAAACAGGGCAACCATCCCATGGCCCGTTTAGGGAGCATGGCGTTATGATTTTCTATCTGTATAAAGGAAAAAAGGTTATCTACAACTTTTTCTGTGCTGTGAATAGGATGAAGATGTGTGGCATATGTTGGATTTATTGCCACTGTCACTATTCTGCTTGGTTGTGAAAGTGTTCATACATTTACATTGACAATCTATGTTTATCAGTGAACAGGTTGTTTCGTATGACTAAATGGGGTTTATTGAGCCCAGCAGTGGCCTCATGTATTATGATATTCCAAGGAATGAAGTTCTTTCTGACAACGATTTCCATTCTACATGTTTTGGTGAATAGGCAGTGTTGCCTCTGGTCTTGTAAAAGTTTTAAGTTCTTGGAAAAACACATTGCACAATTTAAAAGTAATGATAGTGTATGCTTTCAAAAAAAGAAGAGTGGGGTGGGAAATTTGGTGGATTCGTTTAGTACCTTTGGAAAACTGAAGTTCTCTCCATCCTTGTTGAATTGACTCAGCACAGGAAGGCAGGTTGTATAGGTGAGCTAGACCCAGGTGTTGAGTTTCTGCAGTGCCTCTCTGCTGTTGCACTGAACTTTAGCTGTGGTGGTGTAGGTCTCAGATTCAGTCAAAGAGAAAACGGAAAATTTCTTACCAGGCAGAAGCCTGAGAAACTGCTGAGAAGAATGTAAATAAGTTCTTTACCTTTCTTGTTGTTCACATTGTTGATAGTTAAGTTCTACCACTGCATCATGCACTGTGCACCAATGGTGTGGTTGTTTTCACTTCAGGACCAATAGAGTTGGTCTGCATGAAGCTCTGTATAAAAGAGTGATGTAGTTTGAAATAAATCAGAGTTCTATTCTCTTGCCTTCTGAGCAGAGTAATTTCATTCCTGTCCTGCCTCAACAGCATCATGGTGGTACAAGGCTTTTAATACTACACTTGCCTTACTGGCAGTCTTGGGAGGCATGTGACAGTGTGTTAATGTTAAAAGGTTGAAGTTGGTGCTGTCCCAGTGTTTCTCTGAGGCAAGGGCATTGTTTGTGAATCAGCCTCTGAGTCACTGTGGTTTTCAGTCCAGCTGATTGAAGTAGCCTGCTCTAGCTTTGAGTTGTTCTAATACATTGGGCTGCAAAGCTTCACCAGGAGAGTTGTCCTGGTAGCTGGGGGGAGTAATAGTGACAACTTTAACTAGTCTTTGCATCCTTCTGCTAGGAATTTATCCACAACAGCTGGCAATATCAGAGACGCACTCTAAAAGCGGGATGTTGTTTAGGCAGATCATTTTATTTCCTATAGCCATGTATTGACACGAGATTAACCGTATGTCAGTTGAGCAGGAACTGCCTGTGCTGAAGTTTGTTGTTTCCTGAAGCAGTGTGAACTGAATATACACTTCTCAGTACCCTGCAGCTTGCTGTTGTGGCTGTGCTGACACAGCTGTTTGGGCTGGGCTGTGATCCAGACTTGGACTTTTGATCCATCTTGGTGCTTTTTGAAAAGAGGGTATGGACAGTGCCTTCCTCGTTGAGTTTGTTCAGCTTCCTCACCCCTTCGTGCTATGCAGTGTGTTCTGGCAGCTGGAGGTGGCAGGCTGCAGCTCACACATGAGAACAGAAATGCTCTCTCAGTGTTTGTAGAGAGAGCCGGCTTTGACAGCAGTACTCACTGAATGTGTTTTTAAACTGGTGTGAGGCTGATGAGTAGGAATTGTTTACAAGTGATAAAGTGCATCAACAAGGTCATAAGTGAGCCTGTGATCAGGCCCTTCCAGTGTGATGGACAGTGGTGTTGATTGAAGTTGCTGTCCATGGGAGGAAACTCCCAGACTTTTCCTAATTTTCTCTGTGGTAATTTACTAAGTTTTTGAGATGGTGCTATCAGAATAAAATTTTAATTAAGGCAAAAGTTTGTATAGGGTCATTGAAATATTTTCATAATTCTATTTTAGTTTATGAATGCAGCTGCAAAACCTTAAATGCATTTGTCTGTTAACAGCACAGAAGTTAGATAGTTGAGTTAATTGGCCAACTGTAGAAAGTTGAGGGAAGTAAAAGAGTATAAACAAAAGATAGTGGAGGAGAATTTTTTGCCCTGTGCTTTTGTTTTCCACTTTAGTATTCCCTTGTTTCAGCTGGAATAGAGTTAATTCTTTTCCTTGTACTTCGTTTGCTGTGTTTTGTATTTAGCATGAGAACAATGCTGATAACACACTGATGTTTTGGATTTTGCTCTGCAGTGCTTACTCAAAAACATGGACTTGTGTGACGCATGCTCTGCTAATAAGCAGATGCAGAAGAAGCTGGGAGGGATCATGTCCAGGAGAGCTGACCCAAACTGGCCAAAGGGAGATTCCATGCCAGAACATCATGTCCAGTACATAAACGGGGGAGTGTTGGCTGGGAGCTGCCAATTCCTGCTGGGGAAAGAAAGTGGCAATTGTGAAGTGAGCAGCTGTACTGTGCATCACTTGTTTCTTTTGGGTTTTAATTCTCTCCCTCTGCCCTCTATGTTGCAGTTAGTATTATTATCCTGTTGTGTTTTATTTTGTTTCAGTTATTAAGCTTTTCTTATCTCTACCCATGAGGTTTACTCTTTCTCTCTGTTTTTCCTCCCACTTGGGACAGGGAGGTGGATAGAGAGTTGGCTGGCTGGGATTAAGTCACAAGTATGTTAGTTATTTATGTGGGAATGACAATCTTTATGTTCAGCTAAATGAAACTGCTCCTTTAAGGAAGACAGTATGATTTACACCCTTTCCTTAATTATATTGAGTCCTATTTTTAGTGGCTTTTAGGTGGCAGGGATTCAAGTTCAGCAACTGCTGAAGTTCAAGTTCAGTGACTGCTAATAGCACAAATAATACGGTGCCCTGTTGTTTCTGATTTTAAAGTGTTTTCTGTGGTCAAGTAATTCAATAGTTAAACCTCTGAGATATTTGAAAGTTCTTGTAACTTCTTAAAGAAAACCAGTCCTCAAGCTTTTATGTATTACTCATCATGTGATGATCAGATGAGAATGACCAGTTTAAAACCTTTTGCATTTATCCTCATTAATGTGTCATAGAATGTATTGCCCAGAATGGATTTCATTGCAATATCAATAAACACTGTTTCAGAATTTGCTTTCCCTACACATCAAGATGTTCCATATAAACTGTTTAAATTTACATAAATATTATTAGTTCATTATCTTACTAATTGTTCTTGTAACTGGAGCTGGTCTCTGGGATCTTTTGCAAAGGTGACCTCTGAGATAATCTTTACAGGCTGAAAGTTAATGCACAGTGAAGAAGGAGTAAGGCCCTTTGTTTTAGCAAACTTTGTGGTGTTTTTTTAACCAAGCTTTCCTTGCTTTTCTTGCTCCCAAAATGTTGACTGTTTTCTTATCAACAGCTATGCCAAATCCTTCTTTTTACAGTCCTGTTTAAAGAGCTAAGCTTGCATTCTTTTTATTTTCTTTAACAAAGCCACATGCAGCTTCTGATGAAGAAGATTCATTTGTACCTGTTTCA